GACAATATTTTGTTTTCTACGTCAAAAACGAAACATCACATATTTAAAAAAAAAGACGCTGGAGCCCCCAAGATTCTGTAAGATTATTTCCAAATAAAGAACTCCACGGATCCTCGAGTATTTTAAAAACAAAACTCAAGAGGCTCCGAATTTTTTTTATATTAAAATAACACTAGGCGCCTGCAAGAATTTCTCTTTTAAACGCAAAAAATTGGTCTAAAGTTATTTATACAGATCTTCCCTCGCCTCTGAAGTAAAAATATATTAACTCTAATTGTTCATGTTTATACATCGAAAGAATGCGACAATTAAGCACGTAGCAAATTGTCTCCTCAAAACAGAGGAAAACTGAACAATTAGAACATCAACAAATCGAAAAATCAAAAAACTGAAAAATCAAAAACACGAAAAGTCGAAAAATCGAAAAATTTAAAAGTCGAAGTACTTATTTAAAAGTTCCAAAATTGAAATAGGCAGAAGATAAATAGAAAATAAGTATGTACTTAATTGTAAATATTCTTCAATTTATTCGATTTCTCACTAAGTCAGGTTGATAAAAAACCGCCACTTCCCATTTAAAATCTACCCATGATAAATTTAAATATTTATTTTTGTTAAAAAATATTGGTTTGTACAGATCTCTGTAATCAAGCAAGGAACTTTAGTCCTAGTCCATTTTATTCTATCTGAGTGAGAATTATGGCAACCCGCAAAGAGAAGGCGGCGGAGCTTAATACGGGGCTGCTGGGTACCGACAATACTTTACCTGCGAAAAAATAAAATAAAATATTTACAAAATAACAAAAAGACGTCAAAGAAAATACTTTGATGAAACAAAAATAAGTGGAAATTATCTACCAAAAAACGTTTGTAATGGATTAAAAAAAAAAATAAAAGAACTACGTAATACTCTATTTAAAACTAATGCAACATTCTAACCTTTAGGCTTCTTTGAAAAATTCAAAAAAAGGTAATAGCAGTAACCGTATAAGAAAGTATGTAATAACACTTTATAAATTTGTTTTGATACCCAATAGTTTCTTGTTTAATTATCTACGACATCCCACTCATTTTTTAATGATACGCTACATATTGTTTTAGAGATTCTTATAGAACTCGTTTTGCGTTTCGTTTATCTCATCGTCAGTCCATGATAGGAACCACATTAACAATTGCTCCAGAAATATTTGATAACAATCGGTCTGGTAGTTTCGGACATTATGTGTCTAATAAAAATCCGGACAGACGACAGACTCCTTTTTTCGTACTCCTGTCGCCCGATGGACTCGATTACAATACTTCCTCAGCTTACGGTTGGGAAGTAAAAATAAAAAAATAATAATAAAAAGGAAACTAAAAGAAGGTGTATTAAAAAGTTAATTCTATGCAAAATTTTACCATAACATCATCCGATTCTTGGTTAGAATGAACAGAAAAAATTTGATTAGAGTTTTACCTTCTATATATGCAATACAATTTATAATAGATATTATAAACATACTCGTATAACAGACCCGCAATACACGAAAAAATTTACAGTTGAATAAATAGTTTCGAAGAATATTTGTTTAATAAAATCACTAACAAATAGATAAACGGAAACAGAAAACCGAGACTTTCGTACTCCATCAACAGTGAATCGTTCAGAAAACAAGAAATGAAATTTTAGTCAAAATAACTGGACAACATTAACGACAAAAAATATTACTATTAAACTCAACATTGAAGGTCAATTTTTTCAATTAAAATAATTGTATGAAACTTTTTGCTGATTTAGCGAACTTTTAATTGAGCTAAGTACGACGCACATAGAAAAATATTTTCAAATATTCAGAAATTTAAATATTGTACAAAAGGATAATGCTAATTGCGTTAATTGACTAATAAGATGAAAATCAAAATTGGACTTATAGTTTCTGAATAGCTAATTAACATTGATAAAAACCTAATATTCTAGATTATTTCAGGCAAAAAGGCCAATTATACGGAATAAATCTGACGAGATACTTGTTGTTGAAACAAACATTGAATCATAAAAACGATTTGCACAATACAGTTAATTAGCTCTTAACCTACTTATTTTTATACCAATTTATGTAAAAATAAGGCACAATACATCAAATACACCGTTATATAAAGCCTAATAGCAACACTTACCCTTTAAATCCTGATTTCCTTTCCTTCCTCGCCAGTGCTTGAAGCCCCCTTCTTCATGGGCACATCGCACAACACTCACCTTTCACTTTAAGCCCGAAAACAAATTATTTTAACAAAAATAAACACTTAAACTAATTCAGACACCGCGGCACGGCACGCTCTCATCAAAATCAAAACCGACAGAACACGAAAACTGAACAAAAAAACTCACTGTTTACCGTATCAGACATTTTTTGCAGAGTTTTTAATCATCGACACATAACACAGTCAAGGAATCTTAATTAAAATACTACAAACATTATTCATTAGCAGAACATACTTGTCGCGTTGTGTGGATGAATAAGAAATTACGAATGTTGAAACAAATCGGAAAACTTAATTTAGATACCTACGTGTTTCGAAAATATTTTATTTTATAACAAAATTATGCAAAAATTATGATAAATTATTTCTAAAATGTGTGAATGAGTCTATACTTTTTATCAATACATTCATATTTCAAGCAGATTTGCTTCTTCCTTTAAAAGAATCAAAATCTGCAAAAATGATTTTCCACAGTAAATACGCAGTCTTTCTCAGTTGTGAGTTACTAAAACGTAATGAAATAGGGTGATTCTAACACATGTCTAATTTAATGTTTTTTCCCAAAGTTTGCCTGTTATCGAGTTTTGAGTAGTTCTTTACCTTACTTTTAAAGGTTGTATCTGGAAACAAACTCGGGAAATTTAGAACGACAACCAGAAGAAGTGGCGATAATGAAACAAAGATCTTTGCAGAAAATAACAATAATGAAGTAAGTTTTATTAGACATCGTACAATTTCTGCAGGCGAAATTAATATTTTACACAATGTAATCATTACCCCCGGACAAATAAGATCACATTTAAACGCAGCGCCAGCCAAGAATGGCTCGAAAGAGAGATAGGAAACGTAGCAGTATTAATTGAAACACGCAGCAAAATTGTAATTGAAGAAGGGCAGACAGAAACTAGAATAAATGGAGTCATTTAAACAAAAAAACCTTAATAAAAAGCCGAACGAAAGATTTTTGGCGACAGCTGTTCAGACTTCGTTCAAAAAACGCCATGTTTTGTAATTTTCTCCTCGTCAAAACAAAGAGGTTTTATAATTGGTAAGCTGACTCCTTTCAAGTCTACTCAAAACACCTTTATTCGTAGACTCCACTTAAAGGTAGGTGGAATCGTGTCTTGGCAGGAGAGCATGTGTGTGTTTCCTACTTGTTCCATTTAAGTATTACCTTTCTGGAATTTATGAAAATTTATGTGTTTACGTGTTCGAATCGCCCCGACGTATTTCAGGAAGTCCTTCCTGCATATGTGCAATTAAATTCAGTTGTGAAGAGCGAAAAATCCGGCTTTTGAATTATCACCCCACGGCTCTACAGAGAAAGCTCTCGTAATAAACACGACATTACGGTTGTCTCTGCAGGTGTTCGGAGCCGGCAATTTCTTAATTTTTTACGAGTGGCAATAAAGCGTCTTAATTTACTGCTTTCGCGTCGAAGCTTTTGTATTTTTGATGCCAGTCGTCGATGCCGCTTTTTACACATTACGGGTATTAAGCGGACGTTCCAATTTCCTGTCGTACATTCAGGTTTATAAAATTAAATTGCGCATTGCGGCGTGACATTATTTATCGTCGCAATCTTCATAAAAATCGTACCTGGATTTCCGAGATGTTTCGTGGGATTTTTACGAAGTCGAGCTTACTACTATTTTAAATATGTTGGTGTTGCCAAACGAAATATATACTTGAGGTGGGTCTGATACATATAATCCCAATTGTCCTGCTTCGAGACTTACATAAATGATAACCCGATCGATGCAGTGGAAGCTGGAGAAGACTGAAGCGTTCTACTTTCCGATAGTGTTGGAGAGAATTTTTAATTAGTTGCTGCACGTATGTTTGGGATTTGGGTTGGATCAGACGTATTGATTGCAGCAATCGCCGTAATATTTCCCGTCGTTGATAGATTATCTTAAAAGCTTTTTTGCACTAGGAACTAGGAGCAAGGATTTATAGCGAGATCGTCCGTTACGAGGAATTTTAAATTATAATGCGACGGCGTAAGTGGCGATTTGCGATGAGCTCATAATTTGAAGGGTTACGACCGTCGCACGAAAATGCCCCGTAAGGACGACATTAATTAAAAATTAAAAAGACTCATTATAACACTCGAGAGAAGCTGAAATGATCGTATTCGAGCCGTAAAAATCTTGCACTGATCCTTCCGACTGCGCCATTTCTAAAAACAAAAAATCGTTTACGTGCACAAAATTACAGTTGAGCTGTCTTTAAAACAAGGATCAGGGAAACGGTGTTATAAAAATCATTCTCACTTCCCCTGAACATTATTACTCGATCTGCTACAAGAAAAAGGATGCCATTGCAACTATATCACACAAAAAGTACCTCTAACCGCCAACTGAGCGTCGTAAAACTCCGACTCCGCCAAAACCACATTGCTCTCCACTACACGTCCGTTTCCGATACTTTGCCAATATACTCGATAAAATGTAGTCAAATAGCAGCAGTCAAAGCCACGCTTTTTATGCAATCCATCAAACTTTACGAACGCTTTACAGCACCTAGAATTTCAGCCCCACCTCGACATCCATAAAACACCAAAGTAAACATTTAATCGAATTGCAAAAACGCAATCTACACGTTCCAACTACCTAAAGCGAAGCAAATATTTAAATCTAGATGAACGTCCAGCAAGTTATGAGCTCCACACACAACACGTGTTTGCTTTTCATTAAATCCTTAAGCGGCACGACCTTTATATCACCTGGGGACGGGGTAAGTGGTAGTAAAGACGCTTTCAAAAACCTGATTTATTCATTAAAATAAATCTTGATAAAAAATTAACACTTTTAAAACTTTAAACTGAACCCTGCGCCGATTCTGCTGACCTCGGTCTCTACTCCTATCCTGAAGCCGTCTTCGTCCCCCTGCAACAACACACGATTCCTGTAGGGTGGAAATTCAGGCGTCTGTAAACTTACCAGTTTTTTATACTCGCCGCCGCCAGAGGGTGCTTTGGGGCTAGGAGCAGCCGCCCTCTTGTGGTTCGCCTCGCTTTTAGCCGGCCACTTAGGGAACTGCGAAGGATCGATCGGAGGTGGAAATTCGTTAAAAAATGGATGCTTTAATGCCTCTTCGGCTGTTACTCTTTGGTGAGGATCGTAAGAAAGGAAATTTAATAAAAAATTCAGACCCAAATCGTTCAGCATTTGGAACTTTTTTCGCAAGTTTGACGGCTGGTGGTGAATGAATTTCGTTTTTTGAACGACGGGTAGTTTGTTAAAACCGGGCCAGATCTTCTCCGTGGGACTACCTAGACACTAAAACACATTTGAATTACTGAAAACGTCCTCTTCGCTCGTACAGACGTAAAAGACAAAGCGAGCGATGCGAGCACTTCCCCCACAAAAATTACCAAATACACCTGAATTATTACGTTACAACAATTACTGAGATACATTTTGTAGTTTTTTACAAACCTTGAACATTCTGTTGAGTTGCTCCACTTCTGATTTTCCGGGGAAAAGTGGATTCATCAGTAAGAACTCGGCAAAAATGCATCCGACGGACCACATATCGATGGGAGTGGAATATTCTTTGACGCCTAACAACAACTCTGGTGCCCTGTACCATAAAGTGACCACGATGGGTGTGTAAGGCTTCAACGGTGATCCATATTCTCTAGCCAGCCCGAAATCCCCGACCTTCAAAATCCCGTTGTGTGATAACAATAAGTTCGAAGTCTTCAAATCTCTGTGCAGAATCCAATTATCGTGCAAGTGCGCCACAGCCGCTAACAGTTGTTTCAGCAGACACTTCACTTCTCCAGGTGTAAAATGTAAGTCTTTACGTCTCATCATTTCGATGAGCGATTTAAGATCGTGCTCTATATAATCCATAACTATAAAAATCTTATCCATGTTACTACCGACGACTATCTCTCTTACGGTAACAATATTAGGATGCTGTCCCTTTAGTAGAGTGTTAATTTCTCTTAGGGACGTTATAGGAAACCCTTCTTTTTCCTTTTCCATCTTTAGCTTCTTTAATGCAACTATATCTTCAGTTCTTTTATCTCTAAATCGATAAACCACCCCGTATGTCCCCTCTGCTATCCGATTCAAGCACTGGAACTCATCCAGGGACCTACACCCTTCAATCGCCGGATAATAAGGGGGCAGGCTCTCATCAAACTCGATTTTTTCTACCGTTTCGTCTGCTTCTTTCTCCATCTCACTCTCGAAGCTGACATCGCTTTCTTCCTCTACGTCGTCTTCTTCTTCTAGTTTAATTTGTTTGGGTGTGGGTGGTGTCTCTTCGTCGTTTAATTCTTTTAAATCGTCTTCTAGAATTTCACTATACGTTTTAGAGTCTTCAGGTTGAACTGCTACTGTACTTGATTCATTTCTCCTATGATTCTCTGAGTCACGATTTGAATTTCTAAAATCTTTCACTCTCTGTACATCATACTTACATGAATCTGTTTCTGATCCTAGTAAGTTACCTTTACTATCTTTTTCGTTTTTATGTGATTTTTTGCGGTGATGGTGGCGAGATCTGTCGCGGTCTTGAGAGCGGTGGCGTCGATCCCTGAATTCAAGACAAGAAATACGACTTACAGAAAGCGGAATTTACGAAATTTACTACTGTCTTCAAATCCGATATATTTGAGTGACATTTTTTTAAAAATTTGTATTACACAAACAGACTTCAGTAATTTTTTCGTTATTCCCCCTACCCCAATATTTTTCGAAAAATGAAACTAAATACAGTTGGCCAATGTATCACATCGTTCTGTCAGTGACAAAAATTAAACACGTGCATCAGCAATTAGTATAATAAACCGACGTTCCCTCGTACATAGTGGGAAACAATGTCAACATCCATAAACAAATTAAATAATGATTAAGCTAACACTGATGTACATCAAATTTTGATCGGTAGTACCACCCAAAGTTTGACCGACAAGGCCAACTCAAAGTCCTTAAATTAGTACAAATTTAGGGCCAACTGTAATTCATTTTATTTTCTACCGTAACGTATAAGCAATGGCTGAAAAAGCAACGCAACTTAAATATAAAAGGAACAAATATAAATTGCCTTTCAAACATAAATTCAAAGTATATAAGTTCAAAGGGTTAAATTTAGAGCTTGGTCCACACAAAAACATGACAATTTCAATAGTTTTTCCATATAACATTTCTTATTAAAAAGCATCTGAACACATGGGAATTATAAGAAATGAAAACAGTGATGAAAATAATATAAAATAAATTACTAGAAATGTATTATAATCAGCTAAACTATATTTATTAAAAAACTGGTAACCAAAGTTCTTATATATTAGCAAAAAATAATGTGGACCACTTCATGCCATTTCGAAACAATTTTCTAGATATTATTTATGTGTAATCAGTAAGTGCTCATTCACAATGGGCATAAAACATAAGGATGGCCTAAGCATTATGCTCATTGTGAACGAATACAAGCATAGAGCACTAAACATAAATTTTTATGCATTAATGCTTGGGGCATCCTTATGCTTTATGCCCAGTGTGAATGAGCACTAAGCACTCTTATGTTAATGGTAGACAGACATGAATCGTGTTTTTATTAACCATTTAATTTTTCCAATATTACTTATTTAAATATAGCAAAAAACAAAAAATTCTGGAGTTATTGCTTAAACATGTTTATGTATGTTGCTACATATGGGTGCTGTATTATGAAACAAAGCATTTACATTTGGAAATAACACCAGCTTAGTAACGACTTTTTTACGCCAAAATAAACGCTTAATTCGTCACAAATGCCATAATTAGCAAGTCCATTATCTAATCAAGAACAGTACCTGTGGTGTTTGTCCCTGTGGGAGTGCCTTTTCTCTCGATGACCATCTGACCTTTCATGTCGAAAGTGGCTACGATAATCCTCTCGATACTTCCTTTTATTACTTTCAGGCTGTCTCTCCAGACTCTCGTCCATTACTCTGTAAAAACTTAATCAGACCAAAACGATGAGAACTACAAACCTAACCTCAAATTTAGATTTTCCTGTCGTAACGGCGAAAAGTTTTCACAATTATATTCTTCGTCTTCTCTTAGATTCTCTTTATTTAATAAACGACTAGTCATTATCAACTGTACATTATTAATTCATTGATTTTCGTTCACTTGTAACGATTAAACGCAAACATTACCAAATTGACAATATGTCACTGACTGCCAACATAAAACCACCAGAATTTAAAAATCCCCAAAAGAACTAGGATCGAAAATAAATAATACAAAATTCTTTCTACTTATAATAATATATTAAATAAAATTATCCACTATTCTTAGAACTTGAGACTGAACCCGCCTCCCATTCTCCTGTTGTCAATCCCTCCTATCCGAAATCCGTAACCGTCGTCATCTTCGTGCCCCTAAAACGCCAATTACTTCCAAAAACCAGCAAACTATTTCAAAACTTACCAATTTCTTGTATTCTCCGCCGCCACTTGGCGGCTTGGGGCTCGCAGCCAGCGCCCTTTTCTGCCCCAGTTCGCTCTTCGCCGGCCACGTGGGGAACATCGCAGGATCAATAGGCAAAGGCGCCTCATTAAAGTACTGATGCTGCAGCGCCTCTTCCGCCGTCACTCTTTGCGCGGGATCGAACGTGAGAAACTTGGTTAACAAATTCAACCCCAAATCTGACAACATATTAAACTTGGAACGCAAATTAGAAACTGGGTACTCGCTAAATTTCATTTTTTGTACAGCTGGAAGCTTATTAAACCCTGGCCAGATTTTCTCGCTTGGAGTTCCCAAGTCTTTGAAAATCCTGTTGAGTTGGTCGACTTCGGATTTACCGGGAAATAACGCGTTCATGAGGAGGAGCTCCGCGAAGATGCACCCTACGGACCACATGTCGATGGGGGTCGAGTATTCTTTGGTACAGAGGAGCAATTCGGGGGCTCTGTACCAGAGAGTTACTACTATAGGGGTGTAGGCTTTTAATGGGGAACCGTATTCGCGTGCTAAACCGAAATCGCCGACTTTGAGGATTCCTTTGTGGGAGAGGAGAAGGTTCGAGGTTTTAAGATCGCGGTGGAGGATCCAGTTGTCGTGGAGATGTGCTACGGCTAGGAGGAGTTGTTTAAGAAGGCATTTGACCTCGCCAGGCATGAAATTTTGTTTTTTGTGGCGCATGGTTTCCATGAGGGACTTCAAGTCGTGTTCGACGTAGTCCATGACTATAAAAATTTTGTCCATGTTGCTGCCTACGACGATTTCTCGGACCGTGACGATATTCGGGTGTTGTCCTTTGAGAAGTGTGTTGATCTCTCGGAGGGACGTTATAGGGAAACCTTCCTTTTCCTTCTCCATTTTCAGTCTTTTTAAAGCTACTATATCTTCTGTTCTTTTGTCTTTGGCTCTATACACTACTCCGTAGGTGCCTTCTTCGATGCGATTCAAACACTGGAACTCTTCGACGGAGCGACAGCCTTGAACCGCAGGATAATAAGGAGGCAGCTGTTCATCAATTGTCGCTTTTGTTTCTTCCTTAGTCTCTTTTTCTTCAACTATTTCTTTTTCTTCTGATGCTTCTCTTCCATTCTTTGGAGAAACTGAACCCGAACGTTCGCTACTGGCACTCCTACTCCTGGATTTTCGCTCAGAGGAAACACTCCTTTCCCTTGAATCAGAACTGTGCTCGCTTCTTTCGGACCGCCTCGAATTCGTACTGCTCCGCCCACTCTCTCCACTCCTCTCACTCTTTTCATTCTCCTCATAACCTTCTTCGATTTCTTCATCCGTGTTATCCGAAACTGTAACAACATTCGTTTCTTCCACCCTTATCCTCTTGCTATAAAAATCCTCATCTTCTTGTTGCCTTCGTTTCGCATGCCTCCTCTCCCTCTCCACCCTCGATTGTTCTTTCACTCTCGCCATTTCCCTCTCCGCCTCCAACAACTTCTCCTTCCTCAACTCCTGCTGCGCCTTCTCCTCTTCCGTCAACTTCTCCTCTTCCTTCTTATCGTCCCGTTTGTGCCTCTTCTCCTCCCCCGTACTAATATTGATAATCTCCTTGACATACATCCCCGCTTCTCCCTGCAACGCGCTATCAAGCGTCTCCTCCTTATACTTCCTCTCTTTCTCTCCCTTCTCCAGCCGCATGTCATCGTCTCCTTTACTCGTGCGCTTGCTCAGCAAGCGTTCCCTCAAATCTTGTAATGTTTTATCTCCCCGTTCTCTCTTTTCGTCTTCGTAGCGCCGATGTTTTTCCCCACTACGTCCTTCTTTCGGTTTCTTCTCGTCATACTTACGTGAGTCGGAGTGACGCGATCTAGAACTTTCGTCCTTACGGTCGCGGTAATATTGCATCTCACTGTATGTCAATTGTTCGCGGTAATAGCGCTCTTTTTCGCGCTGGTAATGTTCGCGTTCTTTGTTCGAACGCGCGGATTTATCTCGGTGATGTTTCTCGCGGTGGGAATGGCGTTCGTCGCGGTGACGTTCGGAGCGTTTGTGATGCGAACGGCTCTCGTGACCCTCGCGACGTTTGCTGCGGGAGGTCTGGGACGAGACGCGGGCTTGGGGGGGCTTTATGTCGAGGGAGTCGACGTTTTCGGCGTCTTCTTCGGATAAGCTGAAATAAAATAAAATGACTTGATTACTCGTCAGTGAAGACATGACCCAAACACAGTTGAGCTCAATATATTTTTATTGGTAGCACTCCTGAACAATGAACCTACCTTTACTGGTGGTTAGACAACGCCACAAAAATTTGGTCTAAAATTTAGACAGTATATAACGTAACTAAACTAGCTTGTGCATATAAGGATGTATTTTTGACATTTTACGTACGTAATTCTATACAATCAAAACATATTATCTGAACACAGACAACACTTATGTCATACAAAAGTATGATGAGATGATATCAAATTTCTGGACCAGATAAATAGATAAATTTTAGTTGATGTTCTATAATCACTAGATAACACTCAGTGTTTTACATAGATCTCAAGGGCGTCTGTAATGCACGCAAGGTTCTGAGACAAACTAAAAAAGTTTAATTTTTTACGAAACCCGTATGCGTAAATAAGACTTTTTACTTCATTAAACTTTCAGATGACGTCATCAAATTTTTGGGGTGGATGAACTGACGGAAATGGGGGTCCAAGTAGAAAATTAATCGTATTACAATAAAATCGGAGGTATAGTTGGGGTTCTAAAATAGTGAACATCGACCAATTAACTTTTAGTGTTTCATAGTATTGATATAAACAATGTACAAGAAAAACAACAATTTTAAATGGAAATGTATAGTATTTTTACAGCTGATTTATGCATTTCTAGCTAGTGTAAAGTTACATAAAACCAAATTCCAAAAATTCAAATGTACAAAATTACCATATTTTAAAAACTCCAGTTACAATTCAGTTCTGTGCATTTTTAATAGAAATAAGTATGATTCACAATCTATGAATGGAACCCAGCACCATGTTCATCAAAAATAGCAACACTTCCAACTAAATCTAATTATTTAATAAAAATAGGGCAATTACCACAAAAAGTTATAAAACCTGCCCAAACACAGTCACGTGATAGACTCACCACTTCATTAATTTTTTCTAAAAAGAGGTTCTAAAAACATAATCACCGATAACCTTCTTCAACATTCATTCGATCAATTTCAAAACAACTAAAAAATATAAACAAAACAAAGGTATGGTTTACATTCTGGTATAATTTCCACCACAATTACTCAGTACAAAGTTCTGCCAAAATTCTGATCCTTAGTCATATATTTGAGCCCCATTCAATGACAAACCCCCACAAATAGAGTCAAAAAGATAACACGTAATGAAACTGACCTGAAATCCATAGTTTCTCCTTTTTGACGCGACACTTCCGGACTCTGTCGCAATTCACCATCTTCGCTTTGTTCATCGCCTGAATTGTAAGACATCTTCAAAAATTGAGCTTATTGCTAAAATTACACAAAATAGTTTACTTGTGACATTATTGTGAGGTTAAGTTTGTCTAAGTAAATGACATCTGAGAAGTTAGCGGTGAGCGTAGCCAACCTAATCAAACGTCATTAGACTTAGGAATTTCAAATAAAACCAAAGAAGAAGCGTTTTCTGTCGGTGTACCTGATTTTTTCACCTTATTCGTAAATCTAGCGACGCCACTTCACCTAAATCATAAATTAATTCCTCTGTGTGTTTTTTTTACGTTTTTTTAGGCGAAAAAAAATAGGTTGGCATTAGTGCCAACCACTGACAGTTATTGTTAACCTATGCATGTGATTATCGCGATTCCACCCCAATTTTCATATCATATATTTTAAACAATGACAATTCACGTTGTGTGCGTGAGTTAGCAACCCCACTTTACCACGGAACACCCCTCAGCAACACAGTTACCATGTAAAAACTAACCTAAAATTTTGAAAATTTTAATGGGAATCTCTTCGCGCCCCAATGAAGAATAAAAATTTTATCCGATTTCTATTCGGTATTATAATCGTCAGTTTATTTTTGATAATATTCAGGCAGCACAAGCCCGAGACAATCCAAAATATTGTCTCTACAACACATCAACAAATCCAAAATTTTAAGGTAAATGCTGCTTTTTCTACACGTAAAACTCTATTACGCTTTTGCAGGACACGTTTCGGGATGCGGACACCAAAGCGCTTGTTGCTGATGAAAAATATTTAAATTTGTTGGGGTTTACGGATAGTCCAAGGTTGTATCCTAATGACATTTGGAGGAATACTTCACTGCCAGTGATCGTGACGTATGTGATGGAAGGCCAGGAGAGTCAAGCAGTGGGATTAATTAATAACATCGGAAGGGTGCTACCAAATAATACTATTTTGGTGTATAATTTGGGGCTGGGTAATTACGGATTAAAAACGGTAATGGTGAGATTTATTCGCGGGTTTGGACTAATTGGAGATTGTCCTCAGCTTTTAAATTATTGCAACAACAGTAGGTGTCAGTCGTTGAGCTTCAGTCTGTCAGAATTTCCATCACATGTGGATGAAGAGAGCATACGGGCTTATAGACCTTTAGTAATTCAGGTATTGTATTAATTTCAACATTTAATGTTAATAGGCTTTGTTTAAGTATATATTTTTATCGACCTGTTTGTGGTGAAACTGTTTGCCCAAATGTGTTTGCATTTTGATTAATTGATCAGTGTATACAAAACAAGCCATTTATTACTTGGATAAAAAAGTTTTTCATGTCTTTGATTTCAAACAGTTTGATGTTTGGAATTTTTTTCGTGGCGAATTATTAATCAGTTAATCACTCAATGTCGCCACTTTTTTTTAATTTAACCAAAATTTTGTATTTAACTTTGTATTGGATTATTCTGAAAAAATTAAGTTAAAAGAAACAATTGCTTCCTTAAATTATTGATTTATTGATTATATTCTATATTTATTCATCTCCTCTAAATATTGATGAGGTCAATGGTATGAAGGATCTATTACTTCTAGTTCTGTTTTGTAATTAAAATTAAAACTGGGAAAGCAAGAACTTTAATGTAGGAAATGAAAGACATTTGAAAAAAAAAAATACAATACGACATTTTTTTAAATCCAGAGCTCATAATTTTTACTACAAACTTTATTCATTTTAGACCGTAAATTATTGTCATTAGTAGATATTAATTCCAACTACTGTTTACAGTTAAATCTAATTTATTTCGTTTAATTATGGAAATTTGAAGACCGACTGAAATTAGTTAATTGCTCTGGAAGTAATTGTAATAAGAGTTTGTTCTCTGTAGCCATGCGTGCTTTGAACATGACCTGTATAGTTCTGGTTTTGAAAGAGTGAATATTCACAAAAAAATTTCACGCACGGTGAAAACACCAAATTTGATCGTTACTACCTATGTTATTATATATTTTTAACAAATATTTTCTTTTCCAGGATGCTCTTCAACGCACCGGCGCCATCCTTTTCCTCGAGTGCAGCTACCGCTTCTCCCGCCACCTCACCCACGACCTCATAATGGACCTCTTCGAGCGTCGGGCGAAGTCCCACGGGATCCTCACTTGGCCCATGTCACTCAGGAACCCCGTTTCCAGCCTGACGCACAAGAAGATGTTTCAGTACTTCCACACCGACGCCGAAAATTTCCTCTTCTTGCAGATGATCAACGCCGACATCTTGCTCATCGTCAACACGAAATCGGTGCACAACGACATCATGCTACCTTGGGTCAAGTGCGCGCTCACTCAAGACTGTATAGTGCCCATTGGGGCGCAGTCGGCCGGGTGCCGCTTCGACAAGAAGCCGCAGTACAGATACACCGGGTGCCATAGTTACGATACGTCAGCGCTCAATATAGTTCTAGGACTGAAATTTAATATGGACGGCAGTCAGTACATGTACAGTGACGGAGAGAAGCTGTTCGAGACGGTGGAGTTGAGCAAAGCGGAGGCTTTGCTGAGGGAGTTCGAGCAGAATATTACCACGGAGGGCAGGTTTCTGTCTTTTGATACGTAATCGAGATAATGTATCGGACCAAATTCTGTGTGATAATAATGTAAAACGTCAAAGTTATTCCTTTTCGAAACCAAATATGCCAAGCACTTGTTGATAGGAGGATCTGGACAGGGCGAACCTGTCGTCGTTTGTTTCGTTTTTTTTTTATTTTGTTCAATGTTTTTAAAGCATCTTCCTTGTCGATAGTGGCAATTGTACATAAAGACAGGCTATGTCAAGTCACATACGTTTCATTTTTGTACCGCTGATAGTTTGTAAATAGTTATTTATTTTTTGTTGTAACTGAAATGCTTATTTAAGAAATAAAATTATCCGAATTTATGATGTTGTTTCCTTATATGCTTCTCCTAGTGTTAAAAAAAATCATAAAAAAAAATATCAATCGCGCAAGTATAGTTATACCTGTATCTAAATACTAAAATGGTTTTTAATTTTTAGTCAAAAATACATTATTGATACAATTTCTCGAAAAGAACGCAAACATTGCTAATTATATGTACATAATAACAGTGACATAATTCGCGGTTGCAGAAAGTTCTAGAAACAAAGTTTGCGGTCTGTACTTGATTGATACGATTGTGTAATGTGTGGAAAGTCATTGAGTTGTTGGTGTAGACGTTTAAATTCAAATTTTTGAGAGGCAGAGAGCAATAGCTTAGAAGTTTAAAAAGTATTATCCGTTCACGATCTTTATATAGTAGGGTTGGCCATGAAAATCTAGTGAGTTTGTTGGTATTCGATGCAGAAGAATAAAAATTCCCTGAACTTTTTTCGTTAGGTTATGTTTTATTAAATTAAAGGTTAAAAAATATGCCAAAAATATAAACATTGTTGCCGATACTTCCAGTTTTCAGTAGCAATGACCAAGTTAACGGTATCCATTTCTTAGAAAGCATAAAACTTTACGCTATTTAAAACAGTTATTCGGCTTTTTGTAAGCGTTTATTTCATATGCAAGGAACAAACAGTAAAATTTCACTTAAACATTGTTTTTATATGAATGGGGGTTCTACATACGACTATTATCGCATGCCACATCGCCAGACAACAAACAAGTTTGAATTGGGCGCCATGTGTTGCCTTAAACGCAACCAGCAATTCTTCTTTAAATCTACCTGACGTGCTGGGATAGACGACTACCGGACGTGGGTCATAAAAACATCGTAAGCCGATAGTGAAGAATAATGATAATTTATGACAGACGGCTCACAACATACCTTCAGCACAAAATAATCATTTCCCGTATTCTTTTGAAATATTAATTTTAATATCCGAAATAATTATTATTATATTCAAACACAATTTGGACGCTGTAGAGCAAACAAGGCTTATCAAGCCCGTCTATTAGTTTATTCGCCCAAATGTATTATTAATACCGTTTTCTTGTTATTTAGATAAGGGAACAAATTAAATGCACAGTTCTATTTTTAAACGCTCTATATTTTTGCTCGGTAAAAATGATAAATGCTAAGTTATATAATAAATGCTCAGTTAAAACATAAATTCTTAGTAAAAATAATATATGTTTAGTGAAATAATAGCTGCTTAGTTAAGTTAATAACTGTTCGGTTAAATAAGGAATGCTTAGTAAGAACCCTACTTGCTAAGTATAAAAATTGTAAATGTTAATTAAATACTCGTACATAGCCGACGGAGACAGTAGTGTCTACCATAAATTACTGTCATCATCTCTGTATGGCCCATAATTTCATATTCAAAAAATTGAATGTAAAAATCATATTATTCGCAATTACGTATCTAAATTAACGGAAATAAAAAATAATACCAAATATATGAAAAAGGAACGAGACATTCTAAGCGCTAAAATAGAAAAGTTGCGCATGGCCGTGAACTCATCTATTTCATTTTGGACAGAAAAAAAATCATTTATTCGAAGAGAGAGTACTAATAAATGTTACAAAAAGAAATCGAAAATGGTCCCAAGCATACCTTTAGAGATCACACTTTTTGTAATATTAGTGAACATTCTTTTTGTACTGAAGAATCTGTAAAAAAAAGTGGAGGCTAGAGAACAAAATCTTGTCCCTCTATTGATGGATAATGGATTTTTTGATGAAATTTTGTTTCGAAATAAAAGGGTGGCAGATAATGCGTGGAGTTTATTACAGAATGTTACCAACAACTTATCGGAATGTTATAATTCTGTAATCAGTAAGTTTGTTGGCGGCAAAAGGGTGAATTTTTCTTTAAAGGGTAGCTATACGACCAGGTGTTACGGTGCAGCCTTATCGTACAATTCCGAAAAAGGTATGTATCATGAAACAATCCAACAAAAGTTAACAAAATACGGCCCTGGTTTAATAACAAAAAAATATTGTTCGTCTATGAAACAAGCTCGTCTTAGACAAAGTATTCGTAAAAAAATATGTCGTAAAAAAATGTACGTATGCTGGTCCCGACTGCGATTATGGTTTAAATATTTTAGATAATCCTGACATGGATGTAGAAACATTTGTTACAGCCAAAGAGATTTTTTTGGGAAAATTATTTTTGAATTTAGACCAAATTGAAATAGACACTAGGCAACAGGCACATTTTGGCAAAAGAAAAAGAAATTAAGGTTACGGCTTGAAATTTTGGACGGATTTACAAACTTAGACCGACTACAGCAGCAGCTAACACTGTGGAGTCTCTGTTGTATAGTATAGTACATTTAGAGGTAATAGTCATACATACTATGAACAACAAAGTGAGGAAAAAGCTGTCAAGTGTTTTAAAATAAATAAAAGTATAAAAACTGAACGGTGTGGCTTGTTTATTTCACAACAGTTTCCTTACTTGGCTGCTAGTCCAGACAGGGTTCTAGAGGATAGGAGTGCATTACTCGAAATTAAATGCCCTTCAAAATCGCAAGATTTGTCTCCCGAAGAAGCGGTTGAAAAAAAAAAATAATCAAATTTTGTACATTGACAGACAGAGAATTGAAACTAAAAAAAAAAATCATGATTACAACTTTCAAGTCCAGGGACAAATGTTTGTTACGGGTATTTCACAAGTTTATTTTGTTGTGCTGACACCCAAAGGAATAAATATAGAAAAATTTATAAAGGCGAAGAAATATGTAAAAAGATGGCAGATAAACTTGGCAGATTTTACTTTGGCGCATTATTGCCGGAAATAATTGATTCAAGAATAAAGAGGAACCTGCCTTTGCGAGAGATTTTTTTTAAATAAATAAAATGTGTTTCTATTTTTTTTATGTACTTTAATAATTTATTAGGAGTACATTTTTCATCACCAAGACTTGCATATTTTTATTATAAACTAGCTGACCCCGTGAACTTCGTTTCACCTACAACTTAATTTTGAATCTGCAAACCGAATGCTTTGAAATCTTGCAGATGTTTTAAACATCTGATAAGCATAATAAATTTTTATTCAAAATAATACTTACTTCCTCCAAAAAATTGATGACGTCAGCCCAAAATTTTGCCAAATAAATCCTTTTTAAAATATCCAAAATAGGATGAGACTATACTTGTGATTTATCATTCCATTCATATTTTTTAGTTTTGCTTATAGGGGGTGTCTCAAAAAAAATTAATCACTGAGTCAGTTTATTTTATTGATTGAATCAAGAATTGCAAAACTAAATTTTTAGATTTATTGCAGACGTTTTGAAGTTACTGTTTGACATGGTACGTTTTTAATTAAAATATATCTGTTTATCAAGCCCAAAAACTTGATGACGTCATCTCAAAATTTTGCCGAATAAATCCTATCTAAAATGTGCTAAATATCATCAGTATATTTTCGTAAATTTATCATTGCATTCATATTATTTAGATTTGCTTTTACAGTGACAAAAAAATGTATGGATCAGTCAATTTATTTTAGAAAATAACTCAAGAGTTGCAGAAATGACATAATTAATATAATTCATAATGTTTAACTATGATAACTATTAATATGTGATAATTAAACCGAAATCCATTTTCCTAAGAACACGAGGTTAGCAAAAACAAATTAGTTTGTTTAAACATTGTTAAATTAACCCCGAACATGTACAATTTCTGAGCGAAAATATGAAAAATAATTTTTGCAATCTCATCGTGACGTACGATGACGCCACTGTCACCTGATAAAAGGTCACATTTTTCGGTCCTCTGCGTTTAGTTTTGATTTCGGTTTGGTGGCAGCAACATCAGAGTCCGTTTTGGCTTAAAAGTAGGGCTCTTTTCACGAATTTCTAATTTATATATTTAAATACATATTAGTGAAAATGTGTTGTATTAGTACTGTGGACACGAACGAAAATGGATATTTTTTCGAAAAGGACCGAAAACAGGGTAAGTTCGAGTTCAGTTTTAATTTATCGGATTCCGTGATTCGTTCACTCGACAATATTTAAATTTTGGGAAAATTTTCGAAACGATTGAAATCGGTTGATCAGAGCTATACATTTTCACGACATAAATAAATAAATTTTAAACATAATTAATATCATTAATAATGTTTAAATATGATAAGCATCAATGTATGATAATTAAACCGAAACCCGTTGTCCTACAAGCCCGAAATTATTAAAAACAAATCAATTTGTTTAAACAATGTTAAATTATCCCCGAAAATGTGCATTTTCCCGGCCAAAATATGAAAAATAAATTTTGCAATCTCATCGTGACGTACGATGACGTCAATGTCACCTGAGCTACTTGTATAAAGGTCACGTGTTTCGGTCCTTTGTGTTCAGTTTTAATTTCTGTTTAATGGCGGCAAGATCGTCGCTTCATTTCGGCGTAAAAGTGGAGCGTTTTAGCGAATTTCTAGTTTATTATTAATGCATGTTACGGAAAATATGTTGTGTTAGTGCTGTGAACACGAACGAAAATGGATATTTTTCCGAAAAGGACCGAAAACAGGGTAAGTACGACTTCAGTTTTAATTTATCGGATTCCGTGATTCGTTTGGTCGACAATGTTTACATTTTGGATAAATTTTCGAAACGACGAAGTTGGTGGGTCAAAGCTATACATTTTCGCGATATAATTAAATAAAATTTAAACATAATTAATACAATTCATAATGTTCAAATATGATAACTATCAATATATGATAACTAAACCGAAATCCGTTTTCCTAAGAACACGAGGTTAGTAAAAACAAATTAGTTTGTTTAAACGTTGTTAAATTAACCCCGAAAATGTACAATTTCTGATCTAAAATATGAAAAATAATTTTTGCAATCTCATCGTGACGTACGATGATGTCACTGTCACGTGAGCTACCAGATAAAAGGTCACATTTTCGATCCTTTCTGTTCAGTTTTGATTCCGGTCTGGTAGCAGCAACATTGGAGC